AAATATATATATATATATATATATATATATATATATATATATATATATATAAAAAGAAATAAAATTAAAAAAATCAGAATCATTTTAGTTTAGTGATTACACAACTGAGTTGTGAATGGATCTGAAATTAACAGTTTAAACTAATTCTGAACTGACAACTCAATTTGTCAAATCTAAAGCTACTTTTGATAGTGAGGTTCAAATGAGAGATTCTTTTATAATCACCTGTCTTAACACTCTCATGTAAGTAACAAGACAGAGAGGCTGCAAAATTAGTCTAACGGTAATCTTCAGGGAACAATCGTTGGGAGAGACTCCGACGCGGTTCCATGGTGCGCAACCCAAGTTCAGAAAATGGCTTCAACATCAACCTGCAACTCTAGTGTGAAAAATCCCTTAAGAAGTTCAGAAATGCACTTTAAAAGGACTTTAAACTCTATTTTAAAGCCACCCACTCATTGTGCGTCTGTCTCCCCAGGGCAACAACGATGATGTCATCCTGTCCTGCTGTCTGCACTACTGTCAGGACAAAGCCAAGGACTTCATGCCTGCTGAGAGAAGTCAGTTCACTTTTACTTATTAGGGGCCAATCACCACAGGGCGCGCTTTTGAATTCCATCTGAATTTGTTTCTAATTATTAATCCATTTACAAATTTTTACAGCATCTGACTTTGATTGCTATGTTTTTAAAGACATAGTTACTCCATCCAAGTTTTAAGCCATCCAAGATGTGGATGAGTTTTTCTTCATGGGAACAGATTAGGAGAAATTTTGCTTTGCGTCACTTACTCACCAATGGATCCTCTGTAGTGAATGAGTGCCATCAGAATGAGAGTCCAAACAGCTGATAAAAACATTTCTCTTCTCTGACTCACATGCTTTGTATTCTCCAGATGGGCCGGTGAGGTTGCGCAGGGAGGTGGTCTTGCTCACGGATGACCGCAACCTAAGAGTCAAAGCTCTCACACGTAACGTGCCTGTCCGGGACATCCCAGCGTTCCTGATCTGGGCTAAAGTAGGCTGAACCGCAGACCTGACCTACCGCTGTACAAACCAGTCATCCTCCACTGTGAAAGTTGAAGATGAAGAAATGTCACTCAGAGAGGATGAGTAGAAAGGGGAAAAATCCAACAAGCTTTTTGTCAAACCCCCCCCCCCAAAAAAAGAACGGAGTGACACATCAAGCCACTTTACAAGAAAGAAATCAGTATTTTCCCCTTAAAATGCTGCGTGCATAGACAACCGCTTACTTCTTGAGGGTGAGATAGATAAGATTGGAGGGGGTTGAAACCAGCTTAGCTGATTCGGGGGGGTTGATTAAAGTGCAGGATGAAGAGGAAGCACGTGAGGTATACGTGTGTGAGAGAGAAACCAGCAGTTCTGCTGTTTAGAGTGTCGGCTTGTAGTGTTTGTGTGGAGTCACATGTCCTGTGGATGAGCTCATTCCAGTGCTTCGGCCGCTCTCAAAGGGCCTGTGATGAGGCGGGAGCTCCAGTAGGGGGCGCCATGAGGCGGTCTCACTTTCCACTTCAGTGGCCCACGAGGCCCTGATTGTTTTCATTGCCTCAGTGCATGCTTGGTTTGCTCTAAGCATGATTGTTTTAAAGCTCTTCCGATTTTTACCTGCTTATTTAAGTTTGCATTGCAGTTTTGACTTCAGTTTGGACTGTCAGGTTCTTGGTTTAGTTGTAACACCCTCATAACTGTTTGATCTCCTGTAGTAGCATCTTTATAAGTGTGTGAATATAAGATTGTAACATCTGCATGTTGAGTAAATACTGAAGTAATGAATCTGTCATCACAGTAGTTTTAATACAGAATAATCAGCTCTAGTTTTTGAGGAAAATGAGGCTTTCACCACATTGCCATTGCTGAAAGTTACCACAAAGTTTATCCGTCTCTGAATGGAAATCTGCATTTTTTTTAAGGTAGAGCTAACAGAAAACATCATTTAGTTTCCTTTTTTTTCCCCCCAAAGACGACAACTTGTATGAACAGTAAAGTGGGTTATTTAGATATCGGTCACAACCATCAAGAAGAAGAAAAAAAACACTTTATAATTTTGGAAATGTTTTCAAATGTCCTGTGCAAATTATTTTCATGTCGAGTGGTTTGTCTGTGCTTGCATTTTAGTGTGCTTATTTTTTTTCCATTTCCAAAGCATAAGTATTGTAGTTCTAATGAGACCTGGTGTCATCCTGTTACAGGCTGTTTGTTTTAATGCTCAAATATCATCCGAATTATTCACCTCTGATTACAAGTCTTCCTAATTTGTTTTTAATGTCAATTTAATTAAAACTAATTTCTGAGTTAATCATTTGTGTGGTTTAGCCTCTGCTGCTGTTTGAACTTTAGACGTCACTGTTTTATACTGCTTACAGGTTTAATGTCACTGTGTTGGAGCAATTTAACTCCATAATTAGTGCTGATTTAAGATCAGCATCCCGTTTTCATCTAATGTCTTTTGAGATCAAAGATCAGCACTGACAACTTTGTGTGCAAATGAAAGTCAAAGGTTGGTTGACTGCTCTCAAATATGACAAAGACTGTAGACTAAGAATTTATTTTTCTTTTTATCAAAGGAAATGAGCATTGATGTAACAGAAGTTAATTATAGATTTAGATGAGAGAATCTTTCCTGTATGATCTGAAAAGGCGTTTCTAATACCATTCCAAAGCCTAACAACTAAATACCCTGCATTTTCAGGACTGTAGATGAGGTGAGACGGGAAACATGGGTTTGGATTTCTTTTGTGTTTACGGAATTCACCATAAAAAAAACATTGTTAGTGTAAATCAATTTGTTTTATTCCTTTTTCCCTGTCAAAAATCACATACCCACAGAGTGCTGAATTTTATTTTTTTTATTAAGTCTTACTATAATGCATACATTGAATACTTGTTAAATCTGCATGGGAAACATGGGTTTGGATTTCTTTTGCGTTTACTGAATTAATTCACCATAAAAAAACATTCTGTTAGTGTAAATCAATTTGTTTTATTCCTTTTTCCCTGTCAAAAATCACATACCCACAGAGTGCTGAATTTTATTTTTTTTATTAAGTCTTACTATAATGCATACATTGAATACTTGTTAAATCTGCAAAGTACAAACATTAAATTGAATTAGACGAGGAAAATCTGTGCAAACTGTTCAGACTTCAGAAACATCTTCAAATATAACATCATGAACCAAACTGGCCTGCAGGGTAAGTACAAAAAAAAGCTGAAAATTCTGTGCACTTCCTCCCCATAAAGAAATAATAAAAATCAGAAAAAGAAAATGGTCCTACATATTTTTGGTACTCAAACTCCAGTAATATATTACATATTCATGAGGGAGTAAGTGATTGATTAGTGAGTTTCTTGATATTAAAATTTATATTTGGCAATCACTGTCCTTGCCTGTAGAAATGTTCATAAAGACAATCATGTCCTCAGACAAATAGAACACGACTTGCAGCAGCCTATCAGGAATTATTTTTACACGCATGGCAGATTTCAGGATGATGTTGCTATGGTTACATCAGTTCATGTTCTGCTATAGAGGTCACGTTTCACAATAACATAAATAGACAATTCTATAAAACTATAATAAAAAACATTACCGTTCCACATAAACATGATTCAATGACTTCCATGAGTTTTAGAGACTTAAAAATATTAAGCAAAGAAAGGCATGCATTTCAGTCACACAAGCGCTTCCTTATGAGGTCAGAGTCCTCCGGTGCAGCTGTAAACGGACCTCACGGAACAGCAGAAACAAAACTATAAATTGCACATCATTACACATTCATGTGGAATTAAAACTTAAATTGAGGAATGCATGTCAAAACTCCACTGACACGATTTGCTATTATTCATTTTGCCATATTTGATGCAGGTGGCAAGTTTAAGATCTTGGCTTGAGTTCCCTCTACAATAATCGACTGAGCTGCGTATGCTACACAACCTGGAAATCTTAAGTGTGCTTTCATGTCACAATCTGCTGCAAAATTTAACCCTCATTTGAAGGCACAAGCTGATAGTATAATGCTGCGGGGAATGAGGTTTGGAAAAAAAGTGAAAACATTTCATAATGCAATGAAAAAAGAGAAAAAGTGTCAATGAATGGGTAGAGGTGTCAAAGTTGTTGGATATTACTGAATAGAGTTTTCCACAAATAGAGTGTACATTAATGTAAAAATCTAGAAAGTAAGTATTAAATACCTCATTGCACTTTCTTCTGAATTATCATCTCACAAAATACTTGAAAAACTCCAATGGTACATTAGCTGAGGTTTACACTGCTGTGTCGTGAAATGTATCTCAATTGAGGAACGCATTCTAATCAAATACTGCAATACACTTTTCATGTTCATTCAGATCCGTAAACATCTGCAAAGCATTCCACACAAATCCTTGGTGACAAAAGTGCATCTTGGGTAGAAACACCTGCCTGACTTTTTTGGTCTACAAAAGTGAAGTAGTCCCAGAGATAAACCAGTATAAACACATTAATCATTGGACGGAACAACCTGAAGGTCATTTTAGGGTATTTTGTTCAAATAAATGTGCATGTCTGGAGAAAAGAAAGTGTGTTAGTCACAACATCATAAAACCCAGTGAAAGAGCCGTCCAGTTGTTTGGTGTGAAGAGCTTGAGAGTTTGTGCAGATATGAGCGCAGGTAAATACATCCACCACAGCAACACGTTGTAGGTCGTTTCCATATGAGAGAATGCTGCTAACCTTAAGGCATGATATCTTGAGGGTTGTGTGCTCTTTCACATGACATCTCACGATAACAGTACTCATAAATGAGAAAAAATCCTGGTGCCATGCCAAGTCCTGTAAGGAAAGAGAAAACTTTAAGTAAACAACTTTGCACCAAAGGTAACTAGAACTATATAACTTTGTTTTAATTCGGAGAAAAGGGAAGTCCATACAACAACTGAAACGATAACAACAGAGAGGAAGGATATAGTTGGAATTTTTTCCAGCTAATGAACACTGAATATTTCAATGAAATGAATGTACTATATTTTTGTTTGACTTTTTTTATTTAATATTTTGTATTATTAGGGGAATTTATTGTACTAAATTATATTTATGGAATAGTTATGATCCATTTATTACCTGTTAACCACTTCTTGAGCATAGACCTGAAAATGAAACTTGTGAAAGCGGCATCCTGTTCGTTTCCTTTATTTTACAAAAGCACAATGTTTTGTTCTTATTGTGAATGCACACAAATAAAAGTAATATTTCAAATAGTTTCGAATGATGTCTTACTCTTAATTATATGAATACAAAAGGAGTATTCTATAAGATAAAAATTCAAGTGATCGTGCAGACGCCTCACGAGCGCACACAGTTCTAAGTATTGCTAACTTGACAATGCAGCCTGTTCATTATCATCATAAAATAGTCAGCCAAACATACAGAAAAAAAACACACTGCTGAATTTAAATAGCCCGTAGTACAATCTGTGCCATTCGTGATAATTATGCCAAGCACATTTTATTTTAGCCTACATGGATAATGGAGCACGAGTACAAAACCCAGTTTAGCCTACATAATAAATCATAGTTTGGCATCCAAATACATAGCAAATATGGAAACATTTGGTTTCGTACTGAATGAGAGTGGTTTGTGAGGCCAAGTCGGTTTCGGTTTCAGTTACCCTTTAAATTATTTCGTTTTGGCTTGTCGTTCGTTTAGGCTTCTTATATTTTCATTCTTGTTGTGTTTTGAGTATACCATTAAATTTAAAGGATTTGTTGTGGAATGAGGGGAACTAAAATAGCATATAGCCTAGCTATTTTTATAATGTTTGTAAACATTTAGCTTTATTTAGGCTACCGGTATTTCCTAATAAAATGCGATTAAATGCGACTTACCTGCTTTTTTTCTCTCTCAAATACACAATTTTATTTTATATTATTAACCATGCATGCAGCAAACTTTTTAAAATATTTTGAAAAATTACATTTAAAAAATAAACGGTTTAGCTGACTGTAGGTTAACTGTTAACCGGTTAATATGAGAAATATGAGCAGCATGAGCACTTTAAGTTAAAACCACTTTTTTATTTTTTTACAGTGTACAGATTACAGTATTGTACTGTATTGTACAGAACAAAATGAATAAATTTTAACTTGCAACGTTACTAAAGTGTAGGCTAATCAAGAAAAAAAGGCTATGTTTGAGAGGTAACATCTTATTTTTACCATAATAATAAAATAATTGTATATACAATTTAATAATATGAATATGATAGATTTAATGCACTTTTGAACTACTGAGAAATGGTGCACCACAAACACAGACACTGCATATAGGCTAATTCTGTCATATGACACCACATTTATTTGCATTAAAGACACTTTTCTCGACAAAAAGTGTTTCAAAACAAATTTTTACGACATTTGAAGTATCAAAATAGAATTTATGCACTAAATTTAAACAGAAAAAATATAGAGTCAACAATTTTATCGATAAATGGCATTTCCATAAGCTATATCGGTAAACATTCTGAAGTGCTAAACATTTTTTTCGCCAAAAAAATCCTTGGATGGAAACCTGGCTAGTAACACTGGCTGGATGTTCAAACTGCAGACTCACCTGATTAGGACTCATTCTCCATAATAATTGAAACAGGCTGACACACCTCTGCAAGACAAACCCAGACGGATCAATTTCATAAATGCATACATTTCCTCATATTATAGTGTAATATGTCGTTAGGGAGCAGGCGGGTGTATATTAAGGAGCAGAGCATCAAAGCGGCAAAGATTCAGTGAAATCACTTGATTTTTAATAATGTCTAGTGATGCCTCGAAAAAAAATTCACAATGTTCTTTAGCATTTACGAGGGGTGTAAAAGCGGAGTGGTGACGTACCGATGTTTGTCGGGCTGCTGTCTTTCTGCTCCTCAGACTGCAAATCATTGCCTAGGAGATGATTCTGTGACTCACTCAGAGGTCTGGGGTTTGCCTGTCCATCAACAGTGCTGTTACCATAACAACCATTATGTGTCAGTCACAAACGCTTACGGATGTTTTCACTGGCCCAGAATAAACCTCACCTCACATTACATTATAAAATTAATGTTGACACTCCGAAGACTACATTTCTGGAAAAACAGATCTGAGATTAAAAAAAAGATACAACATAACTAAATGATCTGAAACAGCTGAAGGGGAAAATGATCATAATTTATGCCAAACTGCAGAACTATACTGTCATTCAAGTGACTAGTGGTATTGTTCACAAATGAGATTGTAATTACCATTTAATGGCCTGGTGTTCAGCATTGCCTTGCTCTGAGTCAGCGTTGACTAGGCGGGTAGGGAATGTGTAGCCATCGCCCAAACTAGAGAAAAAAACAGTTACTCATGATACCTGCCAAAAACATCTCATGCGAATGCTTCTAAAACTTAAAGGGGCGGTTTATAAACTGAATAAAACATTTTAGAATTTTGGTGAAAAACGATTTTTTTTTTTTTTTTAGTTTTGCAATTTTTAATTGAAATACATTAACACTTCCTCTCAAACACTGAAAAATCCCAAATGATGCTTGATGGATGTGTTTTGTACCTGCTGTAAATGGGCAAGCACCAACACTTCTTCTGGTCTCCGAACACCTGGGTGACATTCTTGCGGAAGCCCAGAGTGAAGCCATTTTTATCTGGGCCATTTCTGAACACCGGTGCCCTGAACGCCTCTGAACAGATGGATGAGAGATTAGGATGAGGTCTGTTCCTGCTCTACACAACACAAATGACATCCTTAACTTTAGAACAACCTTTGGGAGGTGCATCAAAACTGCATTGAAGGGCACAGAAAAGTTTTTTTTCCCCTTCTTTTCCTCTTGAAGTTTGACCTAAATATTGTTCATAAGCACACCCACAATCCACCCCCACATTCATTTACATTTTACTTCAATCAGCAAAGTTTTATTTGACTGAACATGTGACTGCAGTTTCCCTCAGTAAGAAATTATCAAAAATAGGTCACAATATGGAGCGAAGAAAAAGGAGGACTAGAAGAACAAAGTGACGGAAAAGGAAATATGAACCAGGACTGAAATTCTTTGAGGAAGTAATCAGAATCTAAAGAAACAATAACTTTATTTACAAGACAGGCATTTCCTGAAAGAAACAGCAGTGTTTGCAGTGTAGCGAAAGACAACCAATCACAATTTATTATTTAAAAATTAAAGAACTATAACAAAAATAAGAAAAACAAGCAGAAGATTAAGGAGAAGGAGAAGTAGGAGCAAATATTAATAATATTTGAAAAGTTGGGGATGATTTAAACTAAAGAAAGTATAAGGAGGAGGAGGAAAAAAGTAGGAGAATAAGTACAGGTAAAAGAATAAGGAGCAAATATAAATAACATTTTAACAGTTGGAGATTAATTCAACTTTAAAGAAATTATGAGGAGAAAGAGGAGGAAAGGAAGAAGAAAGAAGTAGAAGAATAAGGAGACAGAGGAATAAAAGGAGGAGAAGAAGGTAACAACTACAACAACAATTTCAACAGTTGGAGAATAATTAAGCCAAAAAAAGATGATAAAAAGGTGAAGGAAAAGGAGGAGATGAAAAAGCAAGAAACAGCAGCAACAACATTTAAGCAGTTAGAAATTAATTACAAAGCTTAAGAAAAAGCAGCAGCAAGTATTAACAACATCTTACCTATAGTGGTTCTGTTTTTTCCCACGAGCCACAGGTGGTAGCTGAAGAGTGACAGAATACTGATGAAGAACATGGCCGCCACAAAGAACAGGAACAACACGTGGAACTTTGCATGAGTGTCTGGCAAGTGATTCTGTTGAGCAAGAAAGCAGAACATGAGAAAATGACAAAAAAAAACAAAAAAAAAAAGTGTTTTTTGGAGATACATTCATCAAATATACCAGTGTAGTTTGAAGAGCACTACTAAGGCATATTTAGGCAAGACCCTTGTTCTCTGGGCCATTTGTAAAGCTGCTCTAAAAAGCACTTTACAAATAAACTGAATTGACAGCTGATTTCTTTAAAGGTGAAGTGCATAATTTCTGTACCACTAGCATCGCCACACAAAGTGAAAAAGCGTTTCCCAGACACTTTCCCATTTGCGATCTGCCCAAAACACCCCACTGGTTGAGCCAGTGCTGCTGTCAAACTAGAATAAATAAATTTGGACATCTGACGATATTAAAGGTAATGTGTGTAATTTTTTCTAATGGCATCAGATGTAGTTGTAGAGCTCAAGAAGACCTCTAGATCTAACAGCCTCAACACTACAATCCCTGTCTGGTAAGTACTGGCTGCTGTACCACTAAGAAGCATCTGTATATTTTAATATGCTAAACTACACTCTTTATTGCAACTTTGCCGTTTATTTTAATCAGTAAAAGAAAACGCAAAATGAGTCAACAGTGCAACATCAAACCATCGCCCACAGTCACAACAGTGCAAAGCAAGCGTGAGTGGTTTACCTCCGGGCAATGCTCTATAGCCCTCCGTCTGCAAAGCTTCAGACAAAGTGTTAAAAACACAGACAGAATGTTAGAAGCAGACTCATCCCTTTTTTCTGTGTCTTAAAAAACTGACACGCACACACAAAGATCATTGCACGACATATATGGATGTTAAAAAGTTTTAGTAAAAATATATGGAGGAAAATATAGTGTTATATTGATGTATATAAATGAAAAAAACAGCATCCACTGCAATACAAAAACGTGGTTTTGGTATGATTTTTAATGTTTTTGAAAGAAGTCTCTTACAGAAGTCTCTTAAATCACCAAAGCTGCTTATTTTATAAAAGAACCCTTTAGAATTTTCTATATTTCTGCATAACTATGACTCAAAACATAATTAGATTTTCACACAAATCCTAAAAGTAGACAAAGAGAATCCAATCAAACAAATGAGACAAAAATATATACTTTGTCATTTATTTATTGAGA